TTGGCGAATGGAGAGAGCTTAAAGAAGGTAAAGGTGCAAAACAGCCATAGGCCATGCGATGTTGTCATTTACTTGTAAGTCTACAACTTTAATGACCTTCGCCTGTGTCCAAAGGGTGTTGTGATAACTTTTAAGTGGCCCATGGCTATGTAGCGTTTAGCCGTTTAGCTTCCAGACGCCATTATCATGCTGCTGATTCTCCGGTGGATACACCGGGTGTCGAATACGATCATGAAGGTAACAGCCACATGTTTATGCTTGCATACGATGCAGGGCAGTTTGTCAAGCTTGTGATTCGTACGTAGTTACTCAGTGCGTTTGTCGGTGGCCGTTTAGCCCTGCGTGCAATAATATGGTACGAGTTCCAGCAAGCGGAGCGTTCGTGGTATGTTTACTACTGTAAATGCCGCAGGACTGTCATAAATGATAAATGTTTGGTGACCTCCGAATAGAACGGACAGGGTTAGATTTTATGTTCAATTGTACTCGTTGCCTACTGCTTGTAGATATAGTAATTCAAATTTTCACGCGGGAGGAAACCGCGCATGTGCGTTAATGCATCTATCCATAGTGCTGGTTTATCTAACAATGTCGGCGTGCAGAAAATGTATTTTTGGAACCAAAACGGGAGCAAGAGTTGTTGAACAGTGCGCAAATTAGTCATTTATTCACAGATAGTCGGAGTAAACACGGATATATTAAAGAGAACACAAATGAAGAGATATGGTGTGTGACTCTGTTGACAGTTGAAAATGAGTGGTGTTTGAAGACCCCGACCAAAAGTATTGCCATTGTATATACCCCCACTCTGATACTTAGAAATGTAGATATATCAACACAAATACATTGACTACAAGTAGTGTTTTGATTTGATCTTTTTACGTGACTTACTTTGTTTCTTGACCGTACTTTACAAATGTATGCCGTTTCAAATTGTATTGAATAATCCATACATATGTGCTTTATTAATTATTACATTGTTCTTCTCCTTGACATACTATTGATGACAATCCCTGGGAACGCGGTGGTCGCGATGTGTACGAGGAGTGACGGGCGGAAACACCATAAGGATGGCATATGTTACTATGGGACACTTAGAGTACGAGCGGGAGGCACCTAAACCGTATGTGACACCTTTCTTGACTACGCGTTCTGTGCGCTCACAGCACTGGGTCAGCCGACATGTCAGCTGCACCCTGCCAACTGAGCAGGAGTAAGGCATCTCAAATAATAACACACTAACGGGACGACCATGTCTCTACACCATCCAGGACTGTAGTAAACTTTCCCGATTGATACCTAAGCAGCACAAATGATATGTGAGCATAAATCGAATTGTCTATGTTAAGCATCGCATACATATATATTACTATAGTCGTTCGTGTTACCACAACTGGAGCCTTCCAGTCTGTGTTTGTAAGAAAAGCCCGCGTGTAGGAATGTGGGGGCAAAAATTGAAACCTGTCAGGGACTCTTTATCATAAGTTCGGACATCAGTGATTGACTCAAGACGCGTTACTGTCTTTGTCGAGCTCAATGCAAACTTTCTAATAAACGTGATTCAGAGTAACAATATTATAATATTATTATGGATAATAATAGTCGAGGTTGTGAACACAATGTTCTGTTCTCTCTTAAGTATCAGGTCGCACAGACATTCAACAACAATGAGCGACCATAAAAATATGTATAGTATTAATGATTGTTCCACATTGCTGGATAATTTTTGCATTGGTTGTTGACCTTGGATTTATTTTATTGTTGGTAATAGGTTCACTGTTTTATTGAGCACAGACGAACTCCTCGATACGTCTTAGTATTATGTAAATTCCTTGGCCTCCTCCCCCCCCCCCCCCTACAGTCCTGGCGCTAATAATTTTTCATACATTCTGTATTTTATCACTTTTTCTCCCATCCTTCACATCCATGTGTCTTCACCTTTAATCCCATTTTCTGGTGTAAGCGATGGGGGCTGGCATTCAGAGATGCCACACCTAAGTCTCATAGCACCAGCCCCTCACTGACCCTCTGCAGGTGGTGAGTCAACAGGAGGACGGCTGCTCTCTGGAGTGTGAGCATAGCCTTGATCTTTCAGTGGGGGCTTTGGGCAAAAGTGGGGTTAAAGTGTCTTGCCCAAGGACACAAACGACAGCAGTCATTAGTGGGAGTCGGTGGAGAAGGTGCAGAGGTGGGAACTTGAAACCCACGACCTTCTCGGGCTTAAGGCCAATGCTCTACCAACTGAGCTACTGTCGCCCAATTTTTACCTTTTTCTTGCAGAGGCTAACTTTGAACAATGCCATGGCGGTGGAGTGAAGAATGATGACTGAATGGTTTTCTAAAGTCCACAAGCCAGTGCTCTTTTCCCCTGCTGACAAACAGTCATCAAAAGCAGAAGAATCAGACAGAGCATGCATCAAACATGCAGGCAAATCTGTCGCCTTTCATGGAAATTCACCATTTTGACGTGGGGAAAATATAATTCACATGACTCATCTAAATCTGCAATATAAAAACCAGGAGGGCATAAACCTGCACTGGTTGAGCCACGGACAGTAGGCCAATACACTAAATTGCATGTTTACCTTTTATTGCCAGCTTGGATTCATGATGTAGTGCATGGGCAGCGGGCTAATGCATCAGCCTACGCTACAAAGTTGCATTGAACGCAGCGCACCTGTGCATGAGACATGAGCACCGAATCTAATGTAGGTTTTCCAATGATAATTAGTATTGGACAATAGCGGCATGATATGTGAGTGCAAGCCAACCTATAAAGGTAAACGGATAGCTATAATTTTACCGTTTGGTGGAGGCTTAACTGACCAGGTAGGTGCTCATGTCCCCGTGCGTGCTCTGCGCTCGCTTTTCATGAGCAATCCGCGGTTCAGCGAGGCGTGTGGTCATTGTGTGCTTTTGATGTGTTTTATGCTCATCAGAGAAAACTGGAAACATAAGTGCTACACGTTGTGGGCCTCACAACTATTCAACTATCCTTTTACACACATGTTTGTGTTTGCATGTCGGTTTTAAAATAATGGATACACACACTAGATGCTGGTCAAATTTGTTAAAGTCCTTTGTCTTAATATGGGCCAGTACTATGGTTAAGTACCTGGTACTTGCTGTATAATTTACTGGTGTTTATCACTGGTACTTGTGGTTAAGTCATGGTAAGTACCTGGTACTTGCTGGTAAGTACCTGGTACTTGCTGGTAAGTACCTGGTACTTGCTGGTAAGTACCTGGTACTTGCTGGTAAGTACCTGGTACTTGCTGGTAAGTACCTGGTACTTGCTGGTAAGTACCTGGTACTTGCTGGTAAGTACCTGGTACTTGCTGGTAAGTACCTGGTACTTGCTGGTAAGTACCTGGTACTTGCTGGTAAGTACCTGGTACTGGTAAGTACCTGGTACTTGCTGGTAAGTACCTGGTACTTGCTGGTAAGTACCTGGTACTTGCTGGTAAGTACCTGGTACTTGCTGGTAAGTACCTGGTACTTGCTGGTAAGTACCTGGTACTTGTACTGTAGTACCTGGTACTTGGGTAAGTACCTGGTACTTGCTGGTAAGTACCTGGTACTTGCTGGTAAGTACCTGGTACTTGCTGGTAAGTACCTGGTACTTGCTGGTAAGTACCTGGTACTTGCTGGTAAGTACCTGGTACTTGCTGGTAAGTACCTGGTACTTGCTGGTAAGTACCTGGTACTTGCTGGTAAGTACCTGGTACTTGCTGGTAAGTACCTGGTACTTGCTGGTAAGTACCTGGTACTTGCTGGTAAGTACCTGGTACTTGCTGGTAAGTACCTGGTACTTGCTGGTAAGTACCTGGTACTTGCTGGTAAGTACCTGGTACTTGCTGGTAAGTACCTGGTACTTGCTGGTAAGTACCTGGTACTTGCTGGTAAGTACCTGGTACTTGCTGGTAAGTACCTGTACTGCTGTAAGTACCTGGTACTTGCTGGTAAGTACCTGGTACTTGCTGGTAAGTACCTGGTACTTGCTGGTAAGTACCTGGTACTTGCTGGTAAGTACCTGGTACTTGCTGGTAAGTACCTGGTACTTGCTGGTAAGTACCTGGTACTTGCTGGTAAGTACCTGGTACTTGCTGGTAAGTACCTGGTACTTGCTGGTAAGTACCTGGTACTTGCTGGTAAGTACCTGGTACTTGCTGGTAAGTACCTGGTACTTGCTGGTAAGTACCTGGTACTTGCTGGTAAGTACCTGGTACTTGCTGGTAAGTACCTGGTACTTGCTGGTAAGTACCTGGTACTTGCTGGTAAGTACCTGGTACTTGCTGGTAAGTACCTGGTACTTGCTGGTAAGTACCTGGTACTTGCTGGTAAGTACCTGGTACTTGCTGGTAAGTACCTGGTACTTGCTGGTAAGTACCTGGTACTTGCTGGTAAGTACCTGGTACTTGCTGGTAAGTACCTGGTACTTGCTGGTAAGTACCTGGTACTTGCTGGTAAGTACCTGGTACTTGCTGGTAAGTACCTGGTACTTGCTGGTAAGTACCTGGTACTTGCTGGTAAGTACCTGGTACTTATATTATGGTATACCTGGTACTAGGGTAAGTCCTGTATTATGGGCCGTCTGTGGTAAGTACATGGTACTATATAATTACTGGTATCACTAGTACTTATGGGTAAGTCCTTTGTCTTATTATGGGCCAGTCCCTATGGTAAGTACCTGGTACTCACTGTATAATTACTGGTGTTATCACTGGTACTTATGTTAAAGTCCTTTGTCTTATTATGGGCCAGTCCCTATGGTAAGTACCTGGTACTTGCTGGTAAGTACATGGTACTTGCTGGTAAGTACATGGTATACTATATAATTACTGGTATCACTAGTACTTATGGGTAAGTCCTTTTTCTTATTATGGGCCAGTTCCTATGGTAAGTACCTGGTACTTACTATATAATTACTGGTGTTATCACTGGTACTTATGTTAAAGTCCTTTGTCTTATTATGGGCCAGTCCCTATGGTAAGTACCTGGTACTTGCTGTTAAGTACCTGGTACTTGCTGTTAAGTACCTGGTACTTGCTGTTAAGTACCTGGTACTTGCTGTTAAGTACCTGGTACTTGCTGTTAAGTACCTGGTACTTGCTGTTAAGTACCTGGTACTTGCTGTTAAGTACCTGGTACTTGCTGTTAAGTACCTGGTACTTGCTGGTAAGTACCTGGTACTTGCTGGTAAGTACCTGGTACTTGCTGGTAAGTACCTGGTACTTGCTGGTAAGTACCTGGTACTTGCTGGTAAGTACCTGGTACTTGGCTGGTAAGTACCTGGTAATGTGTAATTCTTGTTACTTGGGTTGGGTACCTAGTTCTTGCAGTGTTTCCCTTGTCCTTGAAACTTGTTTTGAAATATGCATTAAATGTATTTATACTGTCCTTTCTGTGCTACTTATTCCATATTAATAAAGACGTTTGTTTTACATAATGTTGTTTTATGTTTTATAGTCAAACAATCCTACAAATGACCTCTGTATGTATGTATGTAGAAGTACCACATTTACTACATAGGAATAATGCTGTAGTATCCTTGAATTACTAAGTTACAGCTGTATCTAGAATTATCACAATAAGTACCTAGAAGTACCACTGTAAGTACCACAATAAGTACCTCTAAGTACCACTGTAAGTACCTAGAAGTACCACTAGAAGTACCACTGTAAGTACCTAGAAGTACCACTAGAAGTACCACTGTAAGTACCTAGAAGTACCTAGAAGTACCTAGAAGTACCACCGTAAGTACCACCGTAAGTACCACCGTAAGTACCACCGTAAGTACCACCGTAAGTACCACCGTAAGTACCACCGTAAGTACCACCGTAAGTACCACCGTAAGTACCACCGTAAGTACCTAGAAGTACCACTGTAAGTACCATGGACTTACCGGCCCGTAATGTAAAGTGTTACCGATGGTTCTTCATAACCACCAAAACGGACCCAAAGGTTACAATTTTTAAACTGAGTGTGGACTGTAAATTTCCTTAAGCACAATTTCTTAGTAGATCCCACCCTAATCGCCTTGCACTAATCCGACTTTCCACTAGCCTAAACAAAAGAAACCTCCTAAATCCTATTTCTTAACCCAATCTGTGCTATATAAACATCTTCTCTCTTGCTCTCTCTAATCTGTCACTACAGCTTTCCCATTTTTGAAATAAAGTAACAGGTTCAAGAAATAACATAAAATCATCCACTAATTATCAAATACAACTTCAAGGGTTAGATGACAACTGTTTTTGCAATTGCAAACAGGTCCACCCAAGGGCGTAATTGAAAAGGAGAGAGGAGAAAACATGCTTTACGCTACAACCTCCACAGCTCTCAAACTTTCCCTGTTGGGGATGTGGTTCTAGTGGTTATGGTCAGTGACAGTCTATAGGCTAAAGTATTGTCTAGAATACTCTCTTTACATGAAAACAAATGGTCTAAAGTTATGCTTACATGATTTGGGTAAATTGGACAGTGACACATCAGGTGACACACAAAGGTTTCCGGGTTGATATACATTTGAGCAATCACTATTCCCTCGCATATGACTGTGACTATGGGCACAGCCTGCCCAATCACTGCCTTGCTGTGTTACTGATCCACTGCATGTGTGTTTTGATAGAGACACAAAGGTCGGGGCAGTCACAGAGCACATCTATAAGCGCACGAGATCTGACATGTGTACAACTGTGTAAATAGCCGATAACAGTCGACACTTGTCAGCCCTCTGCTCTGAGCACACAAAGCCTTTGGACACTTCATTGTTGAGGTTCTCTACCATTCACCCGCACCAACTTCTCCCAAACAGGGCCCTTCAAGCAGAGATAATTATGCCTTTCGTGGGCCACTCGCACACAGAAAGCACACACAGATTTGGGCTAATTAACACACCCACCCACGTGCCGCCTCAGCCTAACTTGGTCAAAGATGGCTGCCAGCAGCCCATCTGCTCCAGCCCTGCTTCTGGACACTGTCAGTACACTGGCTCAAATGTGAGGAAGCAAAATGTGCTGAATATAAGCATGATGTTTACAAAGTACATTTAAATGTAAATGATGGTCTGAGCCTCATCTGCATGTCTGTATGTGCAGTGCCCCCTGCTATGTCCTGCTGAGTGCCGCACGGGACAGAACAGATGAACAACAGGGGGGGGGGGGGTGCGATGATGCATGGGTCTGTTCGATGAGCCCTAGGGACGCCACGTGCCCCCGCCCTCCCCTTGCCACCGTCCCAGCTGAGCGGCCCGAGCACAACGGGACAGCATCACACAGCAGCAGCGGCGAGCAGAACTGCCTTAATGTAGCCCCAGTTAATCTTTAATGAGCACTCCATATTCAGCTAGTTCATGCAAAATCTGAAAATGGCTTTATTGTGTTCGCTTTGAGAGCAGACAAAAGGAATAACATGTGTAAGAGAGACGTCCTTACACTTCTGTGTGTGTTGTACAGAGGTATCTACAGCGGCCAGACATTCAGACAACTCAACTTATTAATGTATTCTGTTCTGAGAGCACACAGATTCACACAGTGCTGCCGCTGCACCTGTGTGGCCACAGACTTCACAAACTAGATTTCCTTTTATATATATATATATATATATATATATATATATATATATATATATATATATATATATATATCTCCATCCATCCATCCATTTTCTTCCCCTTAATCCATTTCTGGGTCGGGGGGGGGGTGGCAGTCAGAGCTGCACCCAGTACACTCAGCACCAGCCCCTCACTGATCCTTCTGCAGGTGGTGAGTCCACAGGAGCTGAGATCTTTCAGTGGGGGCTTCAGGCAAAGTGGGGTTAAGTGTCTTGCCCAAGGACACAACGACAGCAGTCATCAGCGGGAGTCGTGAAGTAGGTCTTACGGTGGGCTCGAACCCACAACCTTCAGGCTCAAAGGCCAATTGTGAATATATATATATATATATATATATAATATTGTTCAAGATCACTTACTTTACATGATAGGACCAGCTGGTCAAATGCAATCTTTCAATGTGACTGACATCACTTTCATACGAGTGAGTATTATACTATGTATTTTTTTCATGAGGTTTATACAGTTTTAACCAAATTCCCCCATTTATGATTTATAATTTCTAAGATAATAAGATTCTGAAAAAAGTGTAAATAAGTGTATATGTGTGGTGTCCGCTACACTGCCCTCCAGAAGGGCCCCCTGGGACCCACAATTGATCTGAAATGTAGCCTGTAACTGACCTCAGCGCCCTGTAGACCCCATTACATACTGAGCTAGCATCAACAGCAGATAACTCCACTTATGTTGACAAGTTAACTATACAGAATTGGCTTTATTATCAGCCATGAAATATAACGAATTTAACAATAGATCATCATACTATTATACAAAAACAATACGTCTGAAAAATCTTTTTCCACATAAATTCATTTTCAGTAGTCAAACTGCAGGTGGCCTTGTTTCTGTTCCTCACGTACCTTCAAATAACCAGAGGGACATAGCAGCTCAGTGTAGGTGGATAAGATGAAGCAGAAATCTTCTGTGGACCACAACCATCTGCTGCCTCTCTTCATCATGAGCTTTTGATGCTCTGAATGACATATCCAGACCAGACCTTCACAATGAGCTTTTTGTGCATTCCCACCAACTCCACTTCTTCAGATCAATCTTGAGATGGCTACATGACCATTATCTCATAAGGGTTGCACGGAGCAGAAAAAGCAAAGCACAGGATTGGTGGAAGTTATATGGGTCAATCTGCCTGCACCCCTGTATGCACATGTGGGACAGACCATGGGACGCTTCACACAGACCACAGATCTTTATGGGGAATGTGTCTCTGACAAGAGGGGACCTGCTGAGGTCCAGAGGTCAGGGCAGCAGTGTGTTATAGCATCGACCCAGTCTGTAGTTCACTCGAGTGATCCTCCTGCCGATCAGGGACAATCCTCCTGGGACACGGAACATCCCCAGGGAAATATAGATCTATTGGCCTTATTGTAATTGACACACAAATAATTCCATATATCTCCAATATATAATAGACATGTTGAAAAAGTGCCTTATTGTTAAATAATAATCTACACACTCAAGAGAAATTTGGTTTAACATGTTCTTGTCTATGCAATTAATCTTCATCAATGTGAGAGGCAGAGTGTTTGTTACCACGGAGACAGCTAATGGGGACTGAAGTAAAAGACATGCAAGTAAATGTATTTCTATTTTGGATCAGCGTTCTCTTAGAGACAAGTAAAGAAGTCCTGTTTCATGTCCTTTACACAATAGCATTCACAACAAATATTTATCCAAAATAAAACAGCCGTTCAACCTCTCAGCTTTCACTGTGGTTTAAGTCAAACATTTAAAAACAATTAAAGACAGGCGACAGGAACAATCAATGACTCTGTGAGCTTTCAATCACAAAATCAATTTTAATTTCTCCTCTTCATTAGGTCTTTGACGCGCACAGCAGAGGGCAGAGAGGAAGACACTTGTCTACTTGTTATCTGTAACAATCAGTAATAAAGGTTTCCATTGACATAACCCCGAGATGCAACTGCTTCCAATCAGAATTTTCTTCACATCATATCCACATCAATCAATCAATCAATCAACTTATATTTGCAGAGTGCCTTTCCTACACAAGACAACACAAAGCGCCTCACAACCCATATCACACACAGGGCATTAAAAACACACATAAGGACATCGTAAAAGATTATTTCTGGATCAGACTTTTATCAATAAAATGAGACATTTACACATTTACACATTTACTGTTTCATTGTTTCTGTAATTACTGCTCTGTACCTCGTAAACATATTTCAGAGTCTGACATAAAACAATTAATAATTAATCAATGACTAAAACAGTAGCTCAATAGCTTATTGAAAAGTAGAGTCAGTGTTTTATTTACCGAGTAAATTATTCTTAATTACATAGACGTTACTAAATCAAATGTAACACAGCACTTGACAGACTAGTCGCTCAACCCTGCGGCCTGTATAGTATTTTGTTAATGCGTGCCCTGGTCTTAAGAGAATAAATGAAAACATGAAACCGGTTACATTATTTTGAGTCCATAAAGCACTAGTCGGGATAGGTAAGCACGTTTATTGCCAAAATAGATTGGAGTGACCAGAGTTCACTGATCATCATGAGTCAACAGTGTATTGAAACACTTTAACATTTAATCATGTTGTGTGCAGTTAAAATTGTTTTGCTCCATCAGCTGTTGGCAAAGTGCTACATTAAAACATGAAAACCTGTGGCTTATATGGGAATACAAATTATATTCTTATCAAATGTAGCAGGTGCACCTTCAGCAACTGCTTTAGTAGGTTTGTTTAGCACTTCTTTTCTCTTATTATTTGAGTAATAACTCTAATGTAGTAAACAAACTTCATTGAGCAGAACTGAAAAGCATTCAAGTCCTACTTTCACTGTGCTAAAGATATTTGTGGTGTACAGGAGGAGGATGTGTCATAAGGATGGTCACGAAGGTGACCTGAGCTTGTTTGTTTCCGTCTTGACATCTTCAAACGTCTGATTCTCAGAGCCCATTAAATGACCTCTGCAGCCTTAATTATGCACAGCCAACACTGTGTACAAACAGTGAGTCTCCACATCTGAATGAACCCAGGATGAACTCCGCACAGAAGGAATCTATACATCACTGATGTGCGCTGGGGCTGTGCTGCTGAAGTTATTCTTATCATAGACCAGTGATCGTACAAAAGGCTCTGGTTGTTCAGAAACAAACAACAAGAAACGCTGTAACATCTTTACAAATCTAACATGCAAAAAAGGTGCAGTTATCAAAAAACCAAATAAAACCTCCCATTATTCAACTCAACAAACAATATGTTGATAATATGACCTGGGGCACAATTTTAACGGTTAAGGGAGATGGGAGCACCTGGAGGAAACTTACTCAGACACAAAAGGAACATGCAATCGCCACCTACAATGTCCCCACGCTGGCCCCACGATGCTCAGGAGTCAAACCCATGCTTTGATGAGCAAATAACTACTATATATATTACTGATCAATATTGAATTTGGGTCATTTTGGACAATGATCTATAATATTTGGAAGGCCGATGTATTAACCATGAATTATAGATTTGTTTTACTATTTACTGAATAAAGGGCTGCAAAGAGTTTTAAAAGAGTTTCATGAATGTTCATTTTCCCTTACTGATGATGACATTCCAGATAAATATAATATGTGCAGACAGTATTCCCTGAAATCTGCCCTATTATATGTTTTATTAGAAATGTAAAAACCCAAAACACCAACCATAAGCTTTAGCGTGTGAGTGTGTGAAGGAGAGACAGTGTCTGTGAGAAATATATTTAAGAAAAAAAAGGGAGAAAAAAAGTGCCATCTGCCAAGACCCGAGGCTGTTCTTGTCCTACTACCCTCCTTGCTTCATCCTCTATCCCCCGCCCAGCCCTGCTTCATTGTTAGAGCAAGCATTTAAAATAGTAGAATACAATTAAGCTAATAGAAGTAGGTAACCGCAACTGACATAATAAATACTGTAATTTTGTCCATAATAACACGTATTTACGAACCACTCCAAGGATCCGCACAGAGCAGACATGTTGTGTTACTTTCACACGCACTATCACACACATACAAATGAGGTTAATGAAGATGAATGGAGGGCCACGCCACTATTGACATCCTGGCTCTCTGAATGTAGCCCTGTTCTTCAAGGACAACGTAAGGAGTCAAAGCTAACACAGATGATTTAGATATCATAGTCTCCAGAAGCATCAAATGGAGAGGCTCCTTCTCACACTGAACACAACTGCAGTCGGGGAAAATATGATCATTGCATTTCAAGAATATTAAATAGAAAAAATATTTGAAATAAAATATTCACCACATTTTAAATGCTTAAAACTTAAACCCAGCAGTCAGATGGCTTCATTTGAAACCTTTGTTACAGGGAGAGATGGAGAAGAGGCAGAGATAGCGGGAGGAGGGGACCAGCTCAGTGATCCAGAACAGTGAACAGACAGAAGACACGAGTGCAGAGTCCAGTTGAACACATCACACTGAGCGGGGCATCATCAACCATCCACAAAACAACAGCCACGGACAAAGCAGAGCCCACAGCCTCCTCACAGCCTGTCATGTCCTACCTGGGACGATGGAAACGGTGTCTCTCTCCCAGGACACCACGCTGACGTACTCCTGCACCGCGGCGGGGATCAGGCACTTGAACACTGCTACGTTTCCGCGCATCGAGCGCTGGTCTGCCACGCGGACCGTGTAGGGCTCCCTGAAAACTGCACATCAACAGTTACCATAAAACATCAACATCTTTTATGTCACAGAAAAACTATTTACAAAAGTAGTTTAGAAATGTACCTACAGCCTGGTAGTGCTGTAAACATTATTTTATATTACAAGGGGCACCAAAATAAAAACCTTACTGTTTTGGTAAAGTTAAATTGATAAGCTCTTCTAGCCTACAGTTGTTTACAGTAAAAGTGCAAAAAGAAAATTACTGTGAAAAGTATCTTTCTCAAATTTTTGCCACTAAAGATAAAAATGTATACATTTTGCCTTTCGAAAAATAATTATATCTGAATCAGGCCTAAAATAGGACTTTTTGTGGTCTCAATTAGGGCTAAACCAGGTCATAAATAGGAGGACAAATGTGAACTGGTACAGTAGTTTCAAACAAAAGTTCTTCTCACCTCTGGCTGTCGTCATAACAACAGCCATTTCTCAAATATTTGACACATTTCTCAAATATTTATTTGACTCATGTATAATAACAGTTTAAAAGTTTAGATGGATCTGTTGATGGTCAGAGTTTTTGGAGCGGTGTCCCAAAGAGAGAGAGAGCCAGGTTTTATATGTGACATAAGGTCATCCAAAGAGCTTTACAATGTTCAGAGTTCAGATATTGTTCCAATCACTCCACACGGTGATGACGGAAGCGAATTGCCAAACACAAAGCATAATTCTTTGTGTTCTTTTTGTCATATATATGAAATAAACATAATATTTAAATTATGTTTGTATCAAATGGGTTCTTCTGCTCTGTAAAAGTACTTTTGCTGACAGTATTGTATTTAAATATAGTGTGTCTAGCTACCTCATGATGAAAATTAAAACGTCAATCTGTTAGATTCTTTCCTACACAATGTTTTAAAATTATAACAAATTGGAACAAATACAGTAAACCTTAATCAGTACTCAAACTCATATACACCAATGACATTTCAATCATTATATAATTAGTTTACTAATCATTATTGCGTGTACCTGACACTATTGCTAGGCTTGTCACACTTTATGCCACTAAAGCAATGTCGATTTGTCCATTTAATTAAAACTCGTGCATTATGGAAATGAACTGCTGAATTTGTATGTATTCAATATATACAGCTCATCGGAAATGGCAAAAATCTCCCCACTTTTGCTAAATGAACGTACAATAAACACGAAGGCCCAAAATATAATGTTCAATCCATCAGTCGTTGAACAATAGGTTGATTTCAGAATCAGAATCAGAATCATTTTTATTGCCACGTAAGCAACAGTTACCACTTGGAAATTGTTTTGGCAGATAATTTAGCAGATTTAGCAATTATCTTGACTGGTTTAACTATTGCAATGAGTGAACGTGAAAATGTAAAAAAGCTACAAAATAACAGTAAAAGCTTGTGTGACTCGGGAACTGACGACACAATGCCTGGCGGGTAATCCCTGGTCTTCTGAGGGCAGGCTTTTAGGTCATATAGGAAGTAACAGTAACCAGCCCCAAATCCTCAACATGGCGCTAGTATTAGTATTATATAGTAACAGCCTACGTTGGAATGCCGAACAGGAAAACAGATGTTGACATCCAGAGAGAAGAGGGGCGGACTCTTTAGGCTGAATGAATGATTATACACACTAATTGTAAAGCCGCCGTTCTCAGCTGTATGCCAAGTGTCTGCACCGTGCATCCAGGGGAACCCAAAGCGCCAGAATACTCCATTTTACATATGATGAGGTCTAGAGCAGCTTCACACAGTCCAATCAATGGAAAGCAGCAATTAGGTTTGTTAATGAGAGATAATTAAAGTCGTGTGCTGGAGCTATATATAGACTGGCACAAGAGGACAGTGGAGACTGAGGGAGTAGAAGGAGAACAAACTAATGAGGACAGAGAAGAATATGCAACTGCAGTTTCTGAGAATAAAATGTAACTTGCATCGCAGTAATACATACATTTCACTAATAAACTAACACTCTGAATACATTGTGTCAGATCTAATAGAATGTTTGTTATGACAGAAATTAAGACATCATTTATGATTGTGACTTTTGGTGGAAGTTGGAAATTGTGGCTCAGTCAAACTCCAGCCAAAAGGTGATTTGAGTTAAAGTGTAATGTTTTATGATCAGCTCTGTAAAATAGGTGCAGAATAGGCCACAAGCCACGAGAATGTGATGCTGCTAATGTTTTCTCTCTAGGCTGTGTTCTAGGTCAATCTGCGTTTGGGGCCAGACGGGCTATTTCAGGGCAGGTGGGAGATTCTGTTGGCTGTGGGCTGGACTTTTTGGTGGCTGCCAATCACATCTGCTCCACTTCTTTTTTCCCCTCAGTCAACTTACTCTCTCGAACCATTTATGTAGGCAGCTGAAACTATAAGTCAAAATAGTTCTCTTTAACGGAAATGTCTTTTTCAAAACAACCTGCATGGATTGACTCACAGTGATAGCAGTAATACACAGAACAACATGCGGTGTGCAACAAAATTTGACAGTTTATATAAATTATGAAAAAGATGAGATTGGGAATAAGAAAATAATGCTTCTACCTGATAACAAGTAAAGAGCTACTTGTTCCATTAACAAATCTTAAAAATATGGTCAAATCAAGACACATGTGTTTTGCTTATAGGGACGTTTGCAAAGAACTTAAAAAATTAGGTTTTTTTGCGATATTCTACTTCCAATGAATTGTGGAGCCCTAATTAACACACAATACTAAGTGGAGTCTGGACCCACCAGCTTTGATGCGGATGTTGGGGCTGCGGATCTTGCCCGCCTGGTTCTCCGCTGTGCAGAAGTAGTCGTTGTCGTGGATGTAGCTGTTGTAGGCGGAGGGGGAGAAGGGGTACAGTTGTAGCGTCCCGTTGGCGTGCACATGGCGAATGTGGGGCACGTCGTAGATGTCATCACCAGTCGCCAGGTACCAGCGCAGAATGGCACTAGGGGTGCCCCCTGCTGGACAGGGCAGGGACACCCCCACCGAGCTGGAGTAGGTTACCTTCTGCAGGGAGGCATTTACAAAGTACAGCCTGGTGGAGCTCACATCCTCACTGTGTACTGCGGAGGGAACACACAACATCACCTGGTTAATGGGAACGTTCAAGACTAAATATTACAGAGAACAGCTTTAATCGGTGTATTACACAACTGTCCAGAGTAAAGGTCCGCTTTTTGCTTTTTGACGTTGTTGTTTTGCCTTGGCATTTGAAGCAAACTTGTGACGGCAGTTAAGGGTTAGGCTTTAAGCACTAAAATCACCTATAATTGACAACTTTTTAAAGCACATTCCAAGCCAAGGGATGATCGGAATCGGATGCAGAATTCTTTATTATTGTGGGTAACAGGAAGTCACAAACTAGGAAATTGCTTTGGCTCTAATAACATATATATGTCAACATAGTCAGTAGACAGCAGCCTCCGCCAGAACTGTTGTACATAGCACCTTTAAAGCAATTGAATGATTTGCCTAAAGTAGCAAATGGCACAGGATAAACATAACAAATCACGCATTGTGATTTTACCCAATGATTCCAATATCAAATAGTGAAAAATAACAACTTTCAAACTGTGCAATTTTGTCATCTAAAGGGTTAAAAGAATTTACATCATCGAATATCATCGTATATCAGTAAATCAGAGCATTATTGATTGACAAAACAGACCAGGAATGTCCTTCAAATAGGCGACAAAATAATCATAACAAATGTTGGTCAAATGTCCAGCTGCAAACATCAGTCATGTGATGTAGAAAGCCAGGGATTTGGGCTAAAGCCGGAGCTGGTTTAGGTGGACCGGCAGAGGCGGAGTCTCTTACCTTGTACAGTGGCCACACATACACAAACAAAGAGTCCCGATGAGGGAGGGGCAGCCTGATAGGTTATGTGATTGGAATTTCTATGCCAGACACACAGATTTAAGTCGTTTTAATCTCCTTACATATTTAACACACACATCGCTGCACACACTGAAATGTGGAAACACTCTTCATTGGCATTCAGATTAAACACAGGCTGAAGCAGGGACCGGGGCTTTAATATTTGGGGTATGATAGGAAGATGATAATGTGGGGGAGGGACACATGCTTGACAGATGTGAAAGAATCCACTATATGCATGTGTCTTTACCTGATTCAAGAATAGTGTTGTCGCAGTTCTACAAACTCAAGTCTAAATTTTATACCATGGCGATTATTTTGAAAATCGAATCGCCTAATTATTATTTAATGCTCTTTTTGGACAATCAGCTATAATTTTTTAAACTCAAAATAATGATATTATGGGGCCACAATTTCATCTGTTAAAGATGAAACATCAAATTCGGTCCTGTTTTGTATTTCATATCTATACTTGCCCATATTAGTCATTTCTTTACTATTTTCAATATTGATAAATATACAGATGTCAATACTTTTGATAACCCTATTCAGGACTTTCGGTTCAAGAATAAAAGCCTGAACAATATATCTTCATAATTATCGCCTGTACATTTTTCTTCACAATAATGTACAACTATATCTTGCATTACTTAAGATACAGTAATTGTCTCTGTGCCTAATTGATCTTTGCTATTTATTTTATTGATTTAATTATACTGTATTATTATTATGTCGTTTCAAAATGATGTAGGTTTTTATTATTATTATGTGTATTCATTATTAATATTATATCAAATAGAATACATTAACATTATAGCGCTTGTGTTATTGTTACAAATGATCCTTTTCAAAATTCTGGCTTCTTTTCTCAAAATCTCAATTATGTGTTTTGTTAAATAGCAGCGATCCTTTTGAAATGAATGAAGTTAAACTAAAAAGGAATCAATTAGTAATATTTGTACTGAACACAATATGAAACTTTTTTGCCTTAAAGCTCGATAGTGAGATAGTGAGGAAGTGACTGCATCTTTCTTTTCAGAAAGCGTGAGTCATCAATGTTAGTAAAACTTTTCAGAACAGTACGATTTTGCAAATATTTTTGTCTGTTTTCTATCTCAGTAGCATCGGTCCTGTCTGTTTAATGTAATGAGACATAATCTATGGGGCAATGTTGATAGAGAAACACGAACAAATAAAGCCTGGCGGAGTCACTTAATGTCATAAACAGCAGCAGCATTCTGGCATCAGCTCCAGGCGGCAGATTGATGAAATATACTGTTTTTGTTCCCACAATCCAGGAGGCATAAATCAGTAATTGCAGTATCTTATCACAGAAGAGCTGTCCAGTGAGATTGATAAAGCTGGGGTGCATGTTACAGATGGTATATGAATGTGTCTGGTTGTCCGGTGATGGTGTGGCAGAAACCAGGTCAGACTCCCTCCCCTCTGCAGATTACTGATAATGGCCCCTGAGCATAAAGCCCATATTAAAGATTGCAATATCTATAATCTCTCGATGGGGGACAGGACTAAAGTGGAGAAGTGAGGGGGTCACCCTGAAAGCTTTGAATGTGGGGAGTGGGCATCAGACCCAGTAGATTATGTGGCCTGGGGGCATCGGGCACTGGGGGGCTGGGGAAAGCAGGGGCTGATGGAGAGGAAAGTGGAATAGAAAGGGGATCAGAGCAAACTCCAGCCACTCACAGGCTGTCAAAAGCAGGCGCACCACGTGCACTCCACAGACGCACACACAAACAGAGCTCCGTCACACTGGGAGGAGTGAAGCGCGTTGCCATGGCAGTGCTGGCACTCAAAAACTGTGACTGCATAATATACTGCCACAATTTAACCCAACAACAGTGACCCACAGAACGGTCTAAATTTAGCAACTTTCACACAATTAATCTTTATGAAATGGCTACAAAGCTTTACAAAGCTGAACGGGGCCAAAACTTGTGACATGAGGAGAACAGGGACAGTCCCGGCCTGTTGTAGAAATATTCAGATTATTGCTATGGCGGTCAATATCTGATTTAGGGCTGATTAGAATCGTTTTCTTTTCATCTTCATCTTCAATTATTTTAGAAAAAAAAAATCATCATAACAGAAGCGAATATTATAAACAGACTCCAAAACATGTTGGTACTCAGAGATGAGATTATAATGGAGCAATATTTACATTATTAATTAAATAGGAAATATCTAAATCTTTCAATTAAAAAAGAAATTTGTATTTTTCCGGAAATATAATCTTTTCTAAATACATCCATGTGGCTTCACTTCAGCTTTTCCAGCACCTAAATAAATACAATTGTATTGCTGTGTTCTAGACAGATGTAAATAATAATACTAGATTAATCGATTATCAAATGAACCATTCATTACCCATATCTAAAGACAAACTTTTGTTCAAGAGAAGTTGTCCCTAGATGCACCATGTATTATTATTTATTTCAAATAAACATCACATGATGTGAAACATTCAGATGTTTTCAGTATGGCAGAAAAATAACTGATCATTCATATAATCTAAAACAGGAGTCAAGAGATTAGAGATCTTTTTATATTAAACTTACCCTTAAAAAAATCTATACATAAAGTTGCTTTAATCATGAATATCTCTTCAAATGAACGAAATTAAAACTCATGATCAAGTTTGATCCTTGGTTTAATGTTCCGTTTTCATTTCAGTCTAAATGAAAAAGTTTTGACACCCCTCCTCCAAACAACTATAATTCAACGGATTCAAGACTGGCCAGTTTGAACTAATTGTTGACAGAATGTAATGTTGCACTGATCATAATGAATTGGTTTCGCCCACAATCTCACATACAAAGCACATTTGGATCCAACCACAATAAGCATTATGATGTTTCACAGTTGACCTTTTTGCACTTGTCTTACAGCCTTCACTGATGCAGACTCCTCCATGGTGTCACCAGGGGATGTGTTAGCATTGCACTGACCAAAGCACCTGAGCCCAGGAGGCTTCATCAGCCTCGTTCAGACAGAAGCAGGCTCCTACACGCTCCTGCACGCTCCTGGAGCACTGATGGCACCACCAGAGGAAAGCAAAAGCTGTCAGAGGGAGCAGCACTATTTTATAAATCCTGCCAGAGTGCCATGCATGAATATGTATGTCTGAGAAGCACAAGTCATAACCTATGCAATGCAAGGTTTCATCATGCATAATGCAGCCGATCTACACCTCCCCAGATTGTGTGAGTGTGGCACAACAGCAAGCATGGGACTGCATTGTGCTGAGAGGTAAACAAACCTCAGAGCCCTCAATGTTTCACACAAAACTATTTTAAACACACACCTTGTTTATATGACTAAATATGTCTTTCTTATTCTTCCAACTGGTTCCTATGGATGATGATTATGATATCTCCTATATTATAGCTGACTGTAAAACTAATAACACAATCTTCAATCTGGCATCAATCACCCTAGGTTTCTCTCTTATTACCTCACATCTTTTCAAGTTAAAAGTGACAGGCACCCAAAGTTGTGAGTCAAGTCATGGAAGCAGAGGAGCTCTGTGGTAACATGCACAAGCGGTGGGAGGGGGCACATAGATGTAAAGGGTGTGAATTGAATAGTGGAGGGATGTGGAGTGTGGTAAAGATAGGTGTAAGCTTAAAGATAATCCTCCGGGTACGCATAAGCAGGTATTGGTGGGCGGAGAAGAATGGATGAGGTTACAGGGATAGATCTAATCAAGGAAGAGATGGAGCCCCACCTACTGCGAACACCCTGTCCCCAACAAGATACTCCGCACCCACCACCACCACCATGGACCCCCCCCCCCCCCCCCCCTGTGGCCTGTGCTGTGTCAGTAAAAAAAAGTGTGCTACTTCAGCAGTCCCGTGGGACCTGCTCCCCCTCACATCAAAGCAGCCAGTTTCTCTCTTAATGTGAATATCAAATCTGTAGATCACAAGTCCCAGCACAGTCTGCATAAACTGCCCCTCCCCCAACCTTTAATTCTGCCTAGTGATGAGGGTAAGAGGGAGAGGGGAGGAACTACGGTAGGAAGCGTGGAGGGAGGGAGGGAGCAAGCGATGGAGAGCGATAGAAAGATGGAGCGATAGAAAGATGGAGAGATTCACCAAAAACAACTACTTGTTTTTAGCTTTGACATTTGCTGCATTGCTATATTTTGGAAAATGTGCATCCAGTGTCAAATCAAAATTTTAGAGCTTTATTTAGTAACAAGTTGTCATGGTTAAAAAAGACTCCAAGGAGCGAGTGTATATCTAAATTGCAGTTTACACTTTAGGTATAAATGTTGCTACAATGTTTAATTATGTAATAAAATGTGAGAATAAAAATGGAAGAGTAACAGTAGCATGTGTTTCTATATTTGGGAAACTACCACCAAGCCATATTCAAGCAAATGCTATATGTTCAGTTGTTTTAAAACAATGTTGTTTTATTTTTAAAAAGTACAGAATTATTGCTTTAATTTCAAATGTAATTTCCAATTCTGTGAATAAAACAAGAATGTAACTTACTTTTCAACAAGTAATTGTATGTGTGAGAATTTATACTTTAGTGTTCTATGTTTCTTTGGGCTCTTAATAAAGCTTGTCTAAAGCTGTAGGTCTGTCATTGAGGTGACTATGCTCAGGTTGTGTTTGTAATTGTGCAGCCTTGCAAAAGCAGCTGAGGGAATTGCACATGGGCACAGGGGGGGCGAGGGGGGTGTCTTGCATATTTCTATTTGGAGGGGTGTGAACATAGAGGACGCGTGCCACACAGGACAGGACAGAGGTTTTTATTTATCAAATTGCCTATTCTTACTGCTATTCAAAATGGTCGGACTGAAAGCAAGGCCTTTAGGCCTAAGTGTGGTCTGTGCTTTACTTGTATAATTCAATATGTATGCCATTTGAAAATTATCATACATATATGAGAGGGCATTGAAAAATTATAAAACGTGCTTCTCTATAAACTTCACTATTATGAATATTATACTATCCTTTTTCCCTTGATACAAAACATATTTCCTTTGGCTTTGAAATAATACAGTAGCCCAGTTTGGACTGTGTATAATAACTGGAGTGCGTTGGCCTGTTTCAGTAACACAACACGAATGTTTATGCACAAAGTTAAACAAGCCACATGCACGCGCGGAGGGCCCATGTGCGCGTGCCCGTCAGCGGGGTCCAGGTGGGACATTAGAGAAAAACATGACCGGACAAGTCTGCCCTCTACCCCCTCGCCTGATGACCGCCTTTCCCTCAGCTGCTTATTTACATGTTTGTATATTAATAAGTGACCACGGCGAACGGAGTTATTTCCAAAATACCATTGTGTTATTTGCGTAAAGGACTTTATGTCATGTTCAACCCCGAACAAATAATTCTCACTACCACTCTTTAACAATTTTGAAAAAAAAAAAGAATCTTCCCAATATTAAATATTGACGACACAAAAGCTTAATGGCTAAGATCTAATTAACCAAGGCCACGCACCGAGAACAGCCATGTTCTTTGCCCGCAGTGGCTGAATTAAACAAACGAACACTTAAATCCTTTTCATAGAGATTCGCACATTCGGTAGTCTAAACTCATGGATAAACATGATCAAACATGGCTTCAATCAAGCGAGATAAATACAGGCCTTGAAACTGCTCGTGGTCGCATCGCGGTAAATGTGTTATTTTTCTAACGCAGATTTGTCCAGGATTATTATGATGCATGAGCTGAAGATCAACTTGCTCACAGGCCGAGGGGTTTCGGTTAAAACTCAAACAAAATAACATAGAACTAGAATTTACAAATCCATTCAAATGTCCAAAGGGAATGATAGGCTTTATAATTGTGTTTTATGAATGCACAAGTGGCCTTTTAGAAGCTTAAAGCTATTAGACTAATAAGGCCGGTGTTGACAAAAGGCCTATAATTTGCCACTTATTCAAATTGCACACACTGCATTAAATTCAACACAAAAAGGAAGCACATACGATTCCCTCAAACAAGTGTCCATATAAGACGTTGCAGCTCTACTAAAACAATAGCAAATTGCACAAGCTAAAAACGCTCAAATCTCTTCAAACTTCCAGGTGTAAAGGTTTTAGTCAAATTGTTTCGCTGTGTTTAAGATAGATGGTGAACAGATAAAATGAAAAGCCAAGAAACGATTTCACTTTTTTCCTCCCTCCCTCAATTTACACCTTATTCTTCCCTATTCAGCCATTTTACATATTCATATTCATGGAGTTGGTAATGCGAAAACAATCCGTGCACCCTCGACGAAAGCGCCCAAGAGCACCATCTGCGTCTGCTGCAAAAATAAAACGTGCATTGCTTTTCTGCAGTTCACTTTATGTTGAATGTTAAGTTTTATTAATTGCCAGACCAATTCCTTAATAACTGTTTATCCTATTCTTCAAGATTGGCATGCCAGTGCAGAGCCACATCTGGGAAACCCACGCAACCAAATCTACATTTGTTCATTAGAAACCTATGCGACTTTCTGTCATTAATTCTCAGTTGCATCAATCAGCGCACTGTTTGGTACATGCACAAACATAACTAAACAAAAGGTGTTCTTACCTTCTTGGAGAGAGTACAACAGGAGTAAAGTTACAAGCCACATGCCATAAATAGCAGGTATATTTTTCGTGAATTTTTGGCAATTTTGGCAAATGTGAGGCGCGCCTTTTTGGCCAGGCAGGTCTCCGTGCTGGACTGGCGACTGTGCTCCCCGGAGGTCCTTCCAGCCCTGCTGCCCAGTTAAGCATGGAGGGAAAATGAGAGGATACCCAGCCCCGCCCATGTCCCTCCTCTCTTCTCCCCAACACCGTGAATACAAATCCATCCTCCAGCGCTCATCAAACATCGAAGGCTCACAGAAAGCATGCGTCGGGGAGCTGGACCCAGCAGTTCGTCGATATCCAAAGTGTTTGACCGCAGTTTTTGTTGTTGTTGCCTCTGCCTCTGGAGTTTTTCTTTTTTGCGCACACGGACCTTTTGGCACCTTGGAGAGCGCACCCACCTGTGCGCCCCGAAAGACCGAGCGTTTCCTGCGTTATTTGAATAGACTATTGAGTAGACACATACCCTGCGTTTGTTTTCCCTGTGAATGTACCGTTTACGACACAATAAACAAATGAGATTGTTTTTCTTTATCTCATTTAGAGCGTTGGTTGATATATGCACAAAACGGACCGAAAGAGGTACTGTGAGGTGACATACTGCGGTGTGTGGATAGATACGCAAAGTGAAACGTTGAAAGATCAACTTTGTGCACTAAAGAAATTACATGTTGCCATGTTGATAAAGATCATTTCTTATTCATGCAGTTACACATATCAATGCATAAATAAACAACTTAGTTTATACAAATATCAAACGTGGATACTTTGAGTCAAGAGTCAACAGCCTACTAAAAAAGCTACTTGACTGTCCTTGAACTGAACTCCGGGATCAGCTCCACCTCTTGTTCCTGAAGCAGAGCTGCTCACAGACGGTGTTCTTCCGCCCTCTGCCGGACATTAAGTGAAACTGACACTTCGCTGTGTTCGCGCCTTCAAAAAAATCACTAATCTAATTGTATTGTGTTTGGAGTTTAACATGTTTCATTTGGCAATCTTTGTGGACCAATGAGTGTATTTCTTTCTTTTCTGTTAAAAAGCCTTTATGCTATATGTAAAATGTGTGTACTCAATGATGACGTATGTAGATATATTCAGACACTAAACATTTGCGTCACATTTTACACAGAGAAGGGATAGATGGTTTGCTCAGCTGTCTTTTGGTAAAAATAAATATGTAAGATTTTCAAGTCATGTCATCATTAAATGTGTTAAAAGGCATTTATAAATCATGCTCTTTTCGAATACTTCTTTAACTGATCACAATAGTTCAGCCGAGATATTTGGATTTCAAAATTAGTTTTACAGCCCCTAAATCTTGTTTTTGTTTTCATTTCGATGTCCCGCCCTCCACCGTTTTACCAATCAGAAAGTTTGTGAAAAAGGTGTTGGTTATAGATTTGTTGTAAAAGCTTGATAAAAATAGGTAAAACAGTAAAAAAAATTGATACTTGGGGACCCAAATATGATATATTATCACATATAGTATAATAATAATAATAATAATAATTATTATTATTATTATACACTCACCGGCCACAGAGATGGGAGCGGGGTCGCCGAACAGGAGGCGCATGCCAGACCTATTGGACATATTTTTAGTGGTAGGGGAAACCGGAGTACCCGGAGGAAACCTACGCAGACACGGGGAGAACATGCAAACTCCACAGAGAAAGGCCCTGGTCCGACCGGGATTCGAATCCAGGACCTTCTTGCTGAGAGGCGAGAGTGCTATCCACTCAGCCACCGTGCCGCCCAAGGTGATTTATCCTGCTGGAAGTAGCCATCAGAAGATGGGACACTGTGGTCATAAAGGGATGGACATGGTCAGCAACAATACTCAGGTGGGCTGTGGATTGGCACTCATTACTTATACGTAGCACGAAGTGGTGGTCAGCAGGGCTAGTTGTTCACTAGAGCAGCATGTGGAATATGCCTTTTGCGTGTGTTGTTTTTGGTTGGTCTAAGCAATCGAATCGCGAAACCGATAAAGGATACTTTAGGTTCCTCGTGAAGAGATTAGTAAAGAGCCTCACACTAAGGACTTTACGAAAAGACGCAGAGAAAAGTGGCTTGCTAACATTTCACTAGCAAACGCTTTTACGTCGAAGGATTATTTATTTAGTTTTACATCCCCATCTTTTTTTTAATTAACTTCCAGGTACTAGTTGGCGTTTTAGATAAATACTGTGAATGTTTGACTTAAAAAAGAAACACAGCACACAGACGCATTGTTTTGTTGAGAATGACAAGTTCATACCAATCGTTACATACACAGCTCTTTACGATGCAGGATTTGCACCTGAACTCTGAGTTCCGTAACCCACCCACAGACAAAAAAGTTTTAGGCATCCATGCTTTTGTTTAGCAGTGCAAAAGCTTGATTGCAACACTAGATAGTTTGAGATATCCGGGAACTAAACTGACTGTTTTTTTTCTAACTCGCAAATCAAATTATTCTTGTATAACGCATTAGGATCTAAACCGTTACAGAATTTGACTTTTTCGATGTATCGATTTCGAGAATTAGAATCTAAAGTGAAGAAATTGACAGTCTAGGATTGTGTAGATAACCAACGCATGTAGTGGAAAAATACTGCCTTGTGCATATTGTTAGAATGATGAGTTAGAACCACAGTAGCTTCAAAGTGTCATGAAATATACAAAAAAGCACGAAAATACTTAGAAGAAGAGTCTTCGCATATCAGCAGCAATTTTTGTTGGCCTGACCACGTGATGGCAAACCAAGAATTGGTTTTAAGGGATTCAAAGAGTGCCAAGTAAATATCCACACACCCACACCATTACACCACCACCACCAGCCTGAACCGTTGATACAAGGCAGGATGGATCCATGCTTTGATGTTGTTGACTCCATATTTGACCCTACCAATCCGAATGTCACTGCAGAAATCGAGACTCATCAGACCAGGCAACTTTTTCCAATCTTCTACTGTGCAATTTTGGTGAGCCTATGCGAATTGTAGCCTCAGTTTCTTGTTTTTAGCTGACAGGAGTGGCACCCGGTGTGGTCTTCTGCTGCTGTGGCGCTAGTGCCGCTGGACCTGACCGCCGCATTTGACACAGTGGATCATGAAACCCTCCTGTGTCGCCTTGAACACTCAGTCGGCATTCAGGGCTGTGCTCTGGAATGGTTCCGATCATATCTGAGAGATAGGAGTTTCTGTGTGAGAGTTGGTGACTTTGTTTCCTCCACAGGAACATAACACCAGCCTGCCCAGGCACTACAGGTGGAAATTAGCATCTTTGCTATAACCTGGTACATGCATCTCTCCTTTTGTGTTAATGCTTAACTGTACACTGTCACTGTTCAAATAAAGTACATACAATACAATACAATACAACACAGCCTCCCTGTCGTGTGGGGTGCCGCAAGGGTCCATCCTTGGGCCACTCCTGTTTTTGTTGTATCTGTTGCCATTAGGAGCTATTCTCCGGAGTTTTGGGTGTCATTCCATCTGTACGCAAATGACAGCCAAATCTATGTGCCCCTTAAGCGCAACAATAACTTTTGCAGCACCCAACTTCTGGAGTGCATATCTAAAATCAAAATGTGGATGGCAGCAAACCTTTTACATTTGAATGAAAAAAACAGTGAAGTTCTGGTGGTCGGGCCCAGCAATGGCAGCAGTAGCTCCGTGTACCTGGGACCTCTAACACAATTTGGGCTGAAAGATTAGCGGAAGTCGCATGAAACTCGCAAAGATCTATGGGAAACTCGCCTGTATTTGGGCATCGTCTGGTCCTCCCGGTTCTGCGCAGTGGATGATCTCCCATAATGCGTTGCGCCAAACACGCGTGTGTGGGCCCCGTTCAGCCCATAGTTTCAAACCTTGGAGTGAAAATGGATGCTGATTGTAAATTTGATAAACAAATAAGTACAGTAGTGAAGTCCAGTTTCTTCCATTTAAGGCAACTTGCAAAAATAAAGTCCTCCCTTTCAAGGCAAAATTTGGAAATTTTGGTTCACGCTTTTGTTACGACTCGGCTGGACTTTTGTAACGCCTTGTACATAGGTATCAGCTAGTTCTCGCTGGCTCGTCTGCAGCTGGTACAGAACGCTGCAGCGCGTCTATTAACAGGAACTTGGAAGTATGAGCATATCTCTCCAGTCCTGTCATCCCTTCATTGGTTTCCTGTTTGCTACCCGATTGATTTTAAAGTCCTTCTGTTTGTCTATAAATGCCTGAATGGCCTTGCTCCGCGTTATCTGTCTGACCTACTGACGTCATACACTCCATCACGTTCTCTTAGGTCGACAGAATAGGCTCTGCTCTGGGTTCTTCTGACTAAACGGAAACTCAAAGGAGATCAAGCTTTTTCGGTTGTTGGTCTTAAATTATGGAATGAGCTGCCCCTGTGTGTTAGACTGAGTCACTTCCTGTTTTTAAGTCTCGTCCTAAGACATATTTTTTCTCACTGGCTTTTAATTGATTTTCAATAGATTTTTTTGCTGTAAATAGTGTTTTGTCTTTTTGCCACTGTTTTGTATTTTGTATTTGTATTTTTGTGTATGTGTTTTTATGTATAGCAGTCAACCATGTTGTTTTTATTAGTGCTTTATAAATAAACTGGATTGGATTGGATTGATGTAACCCATCCGCCCCAAGGTTTGACATGTTGTGTTCAGAGAGGCTCTCTTGCATATCTTGGTTGTAACGAGTGGTTATTTGAGTTACTGTTTCTTTACCTTTCTATCAGCTCAAACCAGTCTGACCATTCACCTCTGACCTCTGGCATCAACAAGGCATTTTCATCCACCAAACTTGCGCTCACTGGATATTTTCTCTTTTTCGGACCATTCTCTGTAAACCCTAGAGATGGTTGATCAGGAGTTTCTGAAATACTCAGACCAGCCTATCTGGCACCAACAACCATGCCACGCTAAAAGTCACTTAAATCACCTTAGTTCCCCGTTCTGATGCTCGGTTTGCACTGCAGCAGATCGTCTTGACCATGTCAATCACATTGAGTGGCTGCC